CTGGACTGGGAGCACTGGTGTGGACTGGTGAGTGCCCCGGGCTGGACTGCAAACACCGATGTGCACTGGGGAGCTGGGAGGGCTGGACTGGGAGCACTGGTGTGGACTGGTGAGGACTGGTGAGGGCCGGCGAGGGCCCTGGGCTGGACTGGAAAAACCGCAGTGCACTGGGGAGCTGAGAGGGGGGGACTGGGAGCACTGGTGTGGACTGGTGAGGACTGGTGAGGGCCGGCGAGGGCCCTGGGCTGGACTGGAAAAACCGCAGTGCACTGGGGAGCTGAGAGGGGGGGACTGGGAGCACTGGTGTGGACTGGTGAGGACTGGTGAGGGCCGGCGAGGGCCCTGGGCTGGACTGGAAAAACCGCAGTGCACTGGGGAGCTGAGAGGGGGGGACTGGGAGCACTGGTGTGGACTGGTGAGGACTGGTGAGTGCCCTGGGCTGGACTGGAAAAACTGATGTGCACTGGGGAGCTGAGAGGGTGGGACTGGGAGCACTGGTGTGGACTGGTGAGCTCAGGGGGTTGGACTGATAGTGCCATGGTCTAGACTGGGACTGTTAGCATTCAGGAACACACATAATCACAGATTGATTATATGAAGGTGCTTTATTAAGAGCTCCGGGTGTCAGGAGTACACATACCCAAATCTGACCTGCCTTGGTTTTGATCTGGACATGTTTTTATACTCTATCATTATATAACTTACATATTAATTATTAAACTTACATTGTTCTATTGTATGTATTGTTTTTACCCAAGCATGGATTTCTCGTGATCCCCCCAAAACCCCTAACATAGTTTCTCATGTTCTTTAAACAATAATTATATCTAATCACATCTAACAATTGTATCATTTATCATATATTGATTACACAGGTGCAGTTTCACATGATCTTAGCAAGCACAAGGCCTAACATTTCCCAGGGTCTACCTTTAACACTTTTCCCAGGGCTTGCCAAGCCTAACTTTCTTTCTAACCTCCTGAATTTTCTATGATTTTAAAATCTTTTTACTATCAGGACCACTGGCTTGGACAGGGTGCACTCCAGTCCTAACTGGTTTTAACTGGTGAGTTCACAGGCTGTTGATCATTCCCTGGGAACCACACACGGAGCACTGGTCTGTACCGGCCCCGCCATGGCGCTGCCGTCCGCTGCTCTCCTGCCCGGGCTTCTGCTGGTGGCTGATGCCCTGGCACTGGTGTTACTGGTGCCACTGGTGCCGGTGCTGGCGCCGCTGGGTGTGGTGGGCCTGTGGCTCGAGGCCGCCCTGCGCCTGCCCGTCCTGGCCGTGGCTACGTGGCTGCTGCTCCCACGCCGTCCCTCCGGAGCCACCGCAGCCACTGTCACGGTCGCCGCCACCCCCGCGGCCTTCGGAACATTCCGGCACCTCTTGGGGCCACCTGGGGCTGGGCCAGGGCTGCTGGCAACCGCCTCCCCCTCCTGGCTCGGGGTTACCCACGCAGCTGTCGCACTGGCCCTGCTGGCCTGGGCCGCACCCCCGGCACCCGGCGGTGTCCCCAAGACCTCTGGCGATGTTTCCAAGGCTCCTGGCACCATCTTGCGTGTTCTGGCACTGACCTGGGAGGAGCGGAACGTTCTCGGAGGTGCCTTTGTCTGCCTCGTGCTGGCGGCCATTGGTGGGTGACATGTGGTGACAGGCGCTGACGCCCCAGATTTGGGCTCTGCAGCCCCAAATTTGGAACCCCCCAGTTTGGAACATGCCTCCAATCCTACCGGATTGGATGCTGGCCCCTAAAAATCAAGTGCTGAGTCCCTAAATAGATGTTTTAGGCACCCTAAAATTTAATAGTGACCCCCCCTAAATTGGGAGTTGACCCCTTCAGTTGCGTGCTGACCCTCCAAATTGGGTTCTGACTCTGCAAACTTGAGTGTTGACCTCCTAAAATTGGGTGCTGACCCTCAAACTTAGAGTCTGGTACCCAAAAATGGATGTTGACCTCCAAGACATTGGGTCCTCATCTCCCATATTTAGGTTTTGACCCCTAGAATTGTGTGCTGAACCCCCGAAAATGGGTACTGACCCTGTTAATTGCGTGTCACATTTGACAGTAAACCCCCAAAATTGGGTCCTGATCCCTAAATTGTCTCCTGACTTTCTGAAATTAGACCCTCACCCCCCAAATTGGGTCCTGCCTTTCACAAGTCAGGGTCCCCCTGTGTCAGTGGTCACACCCATGGTGACACAGTCTCGGTGACACCCAGGGGAGACGTTGGGACCGTACGCCACTGGGAAGGTGCTGGATGCCATCAGGAGTGGGGATGGACTCACTGCTGGAGCTGTTGGGATGGTGGCAGCTGCTGGAGCCGCCAGGTGGGTTGCAGCATTCCCAGGGCCTGTCCCCATGTGCCCAATGCCCCTGATGTCACTGTGTCCCTGTGTTCCCCCAGTGTGCTGTTTTCTGGGTGCCGTGGGGGGCTCTTCATGCTGTTGAAAGCTCGTCTCCATCAGAGGCTGAGCCTCCGGCTCTTCTCTCACCTCGTGCGTCAAGACCTGGACTTCTTTCAGGGAACGCCGGCAGGTAACAGGGCACAGCCCCGCCCCAGCCCACCTGAGCCGTTCCACCTATCCTGTCCCATCTCAACGATCCTGTCACCCCAGTCCCCATCCCAGCATTCAGTCCTGTCCCCACCATCCCAGTCCCCATCCCATCCCATCCTATCCCATCTGTCTGTTATCCCATCCCATCATTCCATCCCCATCATTCCCATTCCCACCATCCCATTCCATCTTACTCCATCTTCCTGCCTTCATTCTATCCCAATGTCTCATCCTGTCCCAATCCCACTTTCCCATTCTATTCACTGTCCCCTTCCCATTATTCTCATTCCCATGCCTCCATCCCACTGCATGTCCCCATCATCCCACCATCCCCATCACCTCATCCCACAACCTCCATTCCCACCATCCCATCTCTACCCTCCCATCCAATTCCACCCTGACCATCCCCATCCCCATAATCCCATCCCACTGGTCCCCATCACATCATCCCCATCCTTTCCCCATGATCCCAACCTCTTTTCCCACCCTGCAGCTGAGCTCTCGGCTCAGTTTTCCATGGAAGTGCCACGGGTGTGCATGGCAGCACCGAGTGGAGCCAACCTGCTGTTCCGAAGCCTGGGAATGGCCCTGGTAGTGGGGGCGTTCATGTTCGCGCTGGCACCGGGGCTGGCACTGCTGGCACTGCTGGAGCTGCCCCTTGGAATCGCTATCCACCGCATCGAGAGTGCCCGGGAACAGGTCAGGAATGCAGGAGGGAAAGAGTGGGAGGGGGACATGGACGTGGAGAAGGGGGGTGGGAGTGGTGAAATTGGGATGGAGGCCAGGGGAATGAGAGGATGGGGATGGGATGGGTTTGATGGAGAATGGAAAGGAAGATGATGGAAATGAAAATGGTGGAATGAGAGGGGATAGAGACGAGGGGAATGGGATGGTGGGAATGCTGGCATGGGGATAGAATGGAATGGTGGAGATGGGAGTGGTGTGGATGGGAAGAGAAGGATGGGATAAGGTGGGATGGTGGGGAAGGGACAGGATAGGATGGGATGATAAAACAGGGAAATGGGTTGGGATGGTGTGGTTGGATGAGTTCCAGGAGGATGGGAGTGGGGATGAGGACAAGAGGAATGGGATGCTGGGAATGAGAATGGTGGGGATGGGATGAGACAGTGGGGATGGGGATGGTGAGATTAAGACTGGGAGAATGGATAGGAATGGTGAGGGTGGGAGAGAGGGGTGTGGGATGCTGGGAATGCAATAGTGGGGATGCAATGGGTGTCGTGGGATGGGAATGTTGAGGGTGTGGATGGTGGGCCAGGATGGTGACCTGGGAAAGTTGGACACCCCCCAATGCTGCCACAGGCACTTCAGCGATCCATGCTGGAAGCATCTGCCCGGACAGCCTCGGGGGTGCAGGAATCTGTTGCTGCCATTGAGACAATCCGTATCTTCTCGGCGGAGGAGGAGGAGGAGAAGCAGCACAGCTGCAACCTGGCCAAGGAGCTGAGGCTGAAGGAACAGATGAAGTTGGAGCTGGCATTCTTCACCCTTGTCCAGAGGGTCAGGGGGGACTGGGAATGGGGACACCAGGGAATGGGGATACCGCGATCAGGGATGAGTACACTGGGAATGAGAACACTGGCACCAGGAATGGGAAACCAGCAGCTGAGATGAGGGCACTGAGAGCAGAATGGGGACACCAGGAATGGGGACACCAGAACAGGGACATTGGGGTCAGAAATGGGCATGCCAGGAATGGGAATGGTGACATTAGAAAGCAGGATGGGGACACCGGGACAAAGGCTGGGAACATCAGGATCAGGAATGGGGACATCGAGAGTGAGATGGGGACACCAGGACTGGATTAAGGCAACCAGGAACAGGGATGAAGACACCAGAAGCGGGATGGGGACAGGCAGAATGGGGACACCAGGAGTGGGTTGGGAGCACCAGTATCCCTGTTTCCACCCACAGGTGCTCCAACTGACCATCCGGGTCCTGGTGCTCTTCCGAAGCCACCAGCAGCTCCGTGATGGATACATCACTCCTGGGGTCCTTGTCAGCTTCCTGCTGTACCAGGACACAGTTGGCAGCCATGTCCAGGTGATCCCATAGAATCCAGATGTCTGTCCATCCATCCATGCTTCTCTCCATCCCAGTGCCACCCATTTCCTTCTCCCCAGGTGCTACTCTACGGCTTCAATGAATTCCTGACCAAAGCAGCTGCCGGATGGAAGATCTGGGAATACCTGGATCGGGAAGCCACAGGGGATGTCGGGGGGGTGCAGAAGCCCCCCGAGCTTCAGGGCCATGTCACTTTTCAGAAAGTCACCTTCACGTACCCTGGGAATCCAGAGCACCCTGTGCTGAAGGTAGGTCTGGGGGAAGCTGGGGTTTCCCAGGATGAGAGCTCTGGCATCACCTGTCCCCCTTCCACAGGACGTGACCTTCGAGGTGCGTTCCGGGGAGGTGACAGCACTAGCGGGGCCCAATGGAAGCGGAAAGAGCACGGCTGTGGCACTGTTGGAGCGGCTGCGGGATCCCGGGAGTGGGAAGGTGCTTCTGGATGGGATCCCACTGCCAGAATATGAACACCAGTACCTGCACCGGAAGGTGGGGGCAACAGAGACACTGGGAACACTGGGGATGGAATGGGGACATATGAGGACGTGTGTGGGGACACTGAAATGGAACTGGGACCTGGGAAGAATGAGCAGGAATGGGGACACTTGGAAGAGGAATGGGAACACTGGGAAATGGGATGGGTATGACAGGGATGGGATGGGGAAAGTGGGAAGTCAGGGGTGGGGACGCTAGGGACACAGATAGGGACTATGGGATCAGGGATGGAGACTATGGGGATGCCAAGGTGGGATGGGGTCATGGAACAGGGATGGCAACACCAGGAGCCAAGACAGCATCACAAGGCTCGGGGCTGGGGCAGGTGGTGCTGGTGGAGCAGGATCCCATCTTATTTTCTGGAACGATCCGTGAAAACATCTTGCTGGGGCTGGAGCACTGCAAAGAGTCAGAGCTGCAGGAGGCCGCCACTGCTGCTGGTGCCATGGAATTCATCCAGGGGCTGGAACGGGGCTGGGACACCGGTGAGAGCCAGGGGAATCCTCGGGCCTGTGGCTTCATCCTGGGGGTGGAGTGGGGCTGGGACACTAGTGAGAGCTGAGGGGATGGGGCGTCCCTAGGATGCATCCCCCTGATCCCAGGATCCTCCGGCAGAGATGGGAGATTGTGTTGGGTGGCAGATGGTGGGGTGTGGGAGGATCCCTAAGGTCAGATCCCACTGATCCCATGGGATTGCTTTTGCAGTGGTAAGGGAGTGTAGGGGAAAGTGGGGGACCTCTAGGTGTGGGATCCCACTGATCCCAGGATCACCCCCAGAGGTGGGGGAGCACAGGGCGTGGGGAGAAGAGGGGAAACCCCAGGGCTGGATCCCACTGATCCCATGGGATTGCTCCTGCAGAGGTGGGGGAGCATGGGGAATGTCTGGCAGCAGGGGAGCGGCGCCGTGTGGCTCTGGCCCGGGCTCTGCTCCGGCGCCCGGCCGTCCTCATCCTCGACGAGGCACTGGATGATGGAGATGAGGGGACGGTGAGTGGGGTAGGATGGAGGGGGTTGGTTGGGATAGGGGTGCAATTGGTGAAAATGGGGTGTGATGGTATGGGAGTGGAAGGGTGGGATGGCTGGGATGGGATGGCTGGGATGGGGTGGTGGGATGGGGACTGGAGAGATAGGGGTGGTGGGAATAAGGGATAGTGGGATGGAGTGGGAATGATGTGATGAAGACAGGGATTGAATGGAGTGGTGTGGGTCAACAAGGTGGAGAAATAGGACAGAATGGTAAGATGGGAATGGTGAGGATGGGATGGAGACCAGGGGTGTAGGATGGCAGGAAAATAGAATGAAGGGATGAAGACAAAGAGATGTGATAGGGTGGGTTGGGATGGGGTGGGAATGGAGGGGAAAGGAATGCTGGGATGAGAACAGAGAGATGGAATGTGATGGGAAGAGTTGGGGTCGTGGGAGTAGGATAGGATGGGACAATGGGGATGGGGATAGTGTGAACCGGATGGGACAATGGGGATGGGATGGAGAACAGGGAAGTGGGATGGTAAAAATAGGATGATGGGATTTGGGTGGGACTGAGAGGAATGGGACAGTGGGGTTGGGTTGGTTGGTTGGGATTGGGTGGTATCAGATGGGACTGGGTAGGACTGAGTTGGATGGGATGGGATGAGGTTTCTTTGGCCCCAGGCACAGTGCTGGCTGCACACGGGGCTGGCCCAGACTGTGCTGGTGGTGTCCCACCGGCCGTGGGTGCTGGATGCAGCCGATCACCTTGTGGTGCTGGAGCGTGGAGCCGTGGTGGAGACAGGAACGCCAGCAGAGCTGCGGGAACGCTGTGGGGCCTACAGCCGCCTGCTCCTTGGAGGTGGCAGGACTGGGGGGCCCGAGGCCTCCAGCATGGGCAGTGAGAAGGGGGCTGCATCTGGCAGGGAATAAAGGGGAATTAGTCCCAGTGTCCCCATCCCTGGTGTTGGTGTCCCCAACCCGCCCCTGGTGTCCCCAGTCAGTGTCCTGTGAATCCCTTATCCCCATGTCCTCTGGATCCCAACTCCATGTGTCGCCTTGGTCCCTGTGTCCCCCATGTCCCCACTGTGTCCCCCAGGTCACCCTATTCCCTGGATCTCTGTGTCCCCTGTATCCTTCCCTGTACTCCCCATGCACAGATCACTTGTATCCAAGCCCCATGATGTCCCCATGATTCCTGGCCCCCATGGCCCCCATGTCTGCTCCTGGACATGGGACAGAGTGGGAAATAAATCCCAAGGGATGGATCTGGGTGTGGGTGTCATATCCTCATCCCACTCCTGCTGAGCCCACTCCAAACTCCTGGTGTCCCCAGTCCTTTCCCAGTGTCCCCATCCGTATCCCCAGTGTCTTCATCCCAGTTCCCCATGTCCCCTTTTCTGTTCCTGTTTCCCAGAGAGGAGCTGCTGTGCACTGGAGGAGGGAACTGGGATTTATTGCCCAAACCAGAGTATTTTCACATCAGAATTAGAACATTTGGAATAATTGTAATTCTTGTGTTTAAAACATGGGAAAACAGGAAATCAATCTGTTGGGAGAAGCTGCTGTGTGATGGGTGGGAGCAGCAGGATGAGCTGTGCTAGCAATTTGCAGCTTTCTGCAGGGAGAGAGAAGGGGTTGGACCTGGCACCATGGATCATTCAGGTGGTGATTCCTGCCAGGATGAGAGTTGATGTCATCCTGTCTCTGTCCCCATCTCATGGGCTGGATCTGGCTGAAGAGCCCACAAAGGGCAAGAACTACTCTGGAATCCCACCAGACCTTATTATGGAGCTCAGCCTGGCTGGGGGCACAACCTAGCAGACTATTGCCTCAGAAGAGTCACCTATCTATCTGAAGATGTGGAAATATTTCATTTGAGTTAAAGCCCCAAGATATCCCTCTGTTATTATGTTAATTGAGTTACATGTCAGTCACAGACTGGGTAACGTGTCTCCCTGTATGGTTAGGCTACTGGAATGTTCATTCCCTAAGGTTATATATCATTGTGCCTTCCTTTGTTTTCCTCTTTGGTTGGTCACCCCCATGGAGCACCCCCTGGTTTCTCTGCTTTTGGACATTGTCTCTATTCTATTTTATTCCTTATTAAAGGGTTCTTTTCCTGGTGCCAACCATTGTTCCCACTCCTATTTATTTTTCTGCCGCCCTCTGTCCTGAAATCAGAGGACCCAAAGGTCTGTTGCAGCCACCCTCACTGTGACATCCCACATGGTGCCCCAATCCTGCTCTATCAGTACCACCTCATCTGCTTTGGAATCCTCCCAATCCTGTTCTGGAATCCCACTCCAATGCCTCTCCATCCATCCCACCTGATCCTGCTCTGGAATCCAGCCCAGATACACTTCAGAATTCTACCTGATCCCGATCTGGAATCCTGCCCTATATTCCTTCTGCAGTCCCACACAGATCCCTCTCTGTACCTGCAGTCAAGCAATTGATTTCTCTGCCTGTTTCTGCAGAATGAGATCTATGAGATTCCAGCATGGATCACACACCAGGATTCATCTGCACGGAAGTGACCCAGAGCTGGATCTGCCACTCGTACCTCTTGCAGTGTGTTTATTTAATTTTGTCAAAGTTGATAGGTTTGAATTGTTTGTTGGTATGTTCCTTTCCCCCCCAGGTTAAATATTTGGGTTTCTTCCTGTTTTTATCCCTCCCACATCCTATCCATCAAAGCAAACCTCTCCCTTCCTTCTCAAAAGTTCCTTGTCTGTCACCAGAGCCCTGCCCCTACTCCCCTGTCCATCATTATAAGCCCCACCCCATCTTCCAGATCCTTCCCTGACAATCATTTGTTCCTCACGGTCCCACTGGTTATTGTATCTTGCTCCCTCCCTCTGTGTATCCTTATTGGTTTTTTTGCAATCCTCTCCCCTTACTCCTCCCCTCGGGATTCCCTATTGGGCCACTGTTTGTACCCTCCCCTGGAGCTCGGGCTGTGTTTAACCCCTTGCACAACCGCTCTCAGGCTTCTCTTGAATCTGTCCCCTGCTCATGTGGACCACTTGTTTCGCTGTCCTCACTAAACTGTTGCTGGGAACTTCAATCTGGAGAGATTCCTCTGCTTTATTACCTCCGCCCTCGATGCCGTGCACTGCAGAGCTTGGGGTGGCCCAAGACTCTGGAGGTTTCACTGTGGGAAAAGCTAAATCCCCAGTGATTCCCCACTCTTGGCACTGCGCCAGAGTGTGAAAGAACACCGTAGAGCTAGCCAGAGCTCTGGTGCAGAGCAGCCCACCAGCCACCGTACTGCATCCATTCCTCTCCAGTTTCCTGTGGAATTAAAGCGCGATCAGCTTTAATGTGCAGGATCCCCAGTACGCTGCTGGGCAGACTGGTGCTCATCCCCAGCCACCATCCCACAGGTTGCCAGATCGGACCTTCCAGATGCTGAATCCAGTGAGGATCAAGACACAGCAATGATGGACACAGGGACCATCAGTGGGATGAGATTCCAGCTCTAGGAAGTGCAAGGTGGTGAGAAGGGGAAGGGGAACCCCTACCCTGCTGCTTTGTATTCCCAAATTCACAGTTAACAGATCCTGCATTCCCAGCCTTTCCCCAGATGAAGATCCCAAGCTCCAGCATTACAGGATGCTCCACCTGGTACCGGTGCTGCTTCCACTCCCCTGGCAGCACCTCAGTTCTGGCCCAGGTGTGGAAGCTGCCATCGCGGCTGGGAATGATTCCACCCCACTCAGTCTCCTGATCCTGGATTTCTTCCCCCTTCATCCAGCTGATCCTGGGGCACAATCTGTACACGTGGCAGGACAGTGCCAGAGTCTCATGTTCCACTTTTCTGTACACATGGATGTCAGGGAGTTCTGGGAATGGGATAATGGAGAAATCCATCCATGAAATTCTGATGGGAATGAGACAATGGTGAGATCCACCTGTGGAATTTCAATGGGAATGGGATGGAGGTGAAATCCATTCACAGAATTCCCATAGGAATGGGATGACTGTGAGATCCATCCATGGGATTCCTGTGTGAATTCCTGTGTTTCTGAATTTTTCCCTCCCAAATCCTGCATTCCCTCAGGAATTCCACTCCCACATTTGCATCCCAGTACTAATCTGCTGTGTGGCACCAATATCCAATGTATTTCTAAAGCCATTCCACACAGGTGTGCTCCAGGTAATTCATCCTGTGGTTAGCCTGGTCACTGCCAGGTCATCCAGGCAGCACCGTCAGCCTCCACCAAGCTGGATCCCAGCCTGAAGATGAAATCCCACCCATTGTAGCCTTCCCCAGAGATTCCATGGATGTTCCCATTGAACAGGAGGTCGCAGCTGCAAACCTGCTGCAAACCCAGTGCACTGTGTGGAGACCTGGAGGGGTGGATTGGACCCACGGAGCCACATGGAGTTGTGTCCCAGCCACAGAGAGTGTCATCCCAGCCCTATGGCGCTGGGATGTCTGATGGACAGAGTCTGATGGAGACCCACAGATTCTCATTCCAACCTCACAGGTCCCAGCCCCACAGATCCCCCCAGATCCTGTCCCCCCATCTTGGTTTGGAGACAAATTCTAGAAGAAAAATGCTCTAAAATTAATGTTTTTCTCTAAAGAGAGAGGGCTTCAATAACTCCTCTTTCTTCTGCCAAGGAGAGAAATGGATACCAGGGGATGAAAGTCAAAAAGAAAAAAAAAAAAAAAAAAAAAAAAAAAGAAATAAAAAAAAAGGTGCCTACAAGGCACAGAAAAAAAAAGAAAAAAAAAAAATTTAACCATGCACCACACTCCCACCTTGCTGCATGGCTGAAAGGCAAAGATGGCATCTGCCCGTCTTCGTATATGGGGACAGGAGGAGACAAGAGTTCAGAGCAGATGGGAACTTGTTGGATTCTGGCATCAGTTTCCTTGCAGCAGCCAAAGTTGGTGGATTTTAATGTTCTTTCTTGTGTCAGTTCAGCTCCTCTGAGGTCTTGGGTTTGGGGTGGTCCCACTGGCTTCCTGGACAGGCCAAAGAAAGGAAAAAAAACAAGGCAAAGATCAAGGGAAAAAGAGAAACAAGTCACCAAGAGGATTCCTGGTACAGCCTCCAGGCTAGGGGAAGGGAAAAAAACCCCTTTTTGCTTCAAGCAAAAAACCCAAACCAGTGCAACAGAAGGAACAATGCAGTGTCCTGGTACACACTGTCAGAGCTTGAACAGAGCTCATGCAGGAGCCCAAGGCTCCCCACCCCTTCCCTGGGTCTATATTAAAGCTGCAGGACTCATTTTCTGGGCATAAAGCAGGGGATTAGGAAATAAAACATCATCATAAAATCACCCCAAGACACCCCCACTGCTGCTACCCCAGCCCCACAGCCTCTCCAGGTTGCTGGCAGCCATGCACTGGTTCCCCTTGGCAAACCAGGTCTGGGTATCCAATGTTCTGTCATCCATGGCATCTTTGTCTGTTGCAGTCACCCTCACTGTGACATCCTACTGTATCCATGGTGCCCCAATCCTGCTCTATCAATACCACCTGATCTGCTTTGGAATCCCCCCAGTCCTGTTCTGGAATCCCACTCCAATGCCACTGAGCATCTATCCCACCTGAGCAGGAATCCAGCCCTGCTCACTCAAAAGGGTTCCTGTCCAGGTACCCCATGGCCACACATTGGGAAACCCCCAGGCTGGGCTCTGACACTGCACAGGAATCACAGAGTGTGGAGAACTGGGGGGACACAAAGGTTGGGGGATTCCAGGGGGGCCTCATAGATCAAGGAGAGGGAAACGGTGTGATAAAAAGGATGTAAAGGTATGCACACAGGATGAGAAACGTGTCTGGAACCAGTGGAGAAGCAGATAAAAAGGACTACAGTGTGGTTTTGAGCAAGTTATGTATCAAGAGGCAATAGTGCATGCTCAAGGAAAAGTTCAAGGGAAGGTCACCTTTAGTATCAAATCTTTCAGTGAATACAACCACCAGAGACTCCTTCAGACAACCCTCTAGGACCATAGAACAACTTCCAGTAGGAGGCAGATGCATAGAAATGACTTATAGGAAAGTGATGTTCCTGTATTAGCTAGGAGACACATTGTAATGAATATTATGATGCACAAATATCTGGTTGTAAAGTCTCACCTCAAACACAGAATAAGGAGATATCCTCCACGTATCCTGCACAGATGATGCCTGCTCTCTAGTGCTTCAAATTGTGTTAGAAAGATTATCTTCCAGCAGATTTCAGTATCAAGGAAAGCTGGGAAAGCCAGGAGGGGGATTTGGGGATCCCAGGGTGAATGAAAGGTGGGTGCAGGGCCTCCCAGTGTCGAGGAAATGGGAGTCCCAGGCTGGGGAAAGCAGGGATGGCTGGAAAGGAGGTCCAGAGGACCCTTGGTATTGAGGAAAGAGGGGGTATGTGGGCTAAGAAAGACAGGAATAGGGGTCCAGGGGCTCCCAGGGTCAAGGAAAAAGGGGCACATGGGGTCTGGGAGCAACGCTGTAAGGGGATGCAGGTGGGTGCCAGCGTTGTGGAGTGGGGAGTTCAGAGGGGTCCTGGTACCCGGAAAGGGAGCGCAGGGGGGGTCCCAGTGCCTGGGAATGGAACTTCAGGGGATCCCTGTACCGGAGGCCCCACTCACCCCTCACCATCTCCCCCAGCAGAGCCCCTCCGGCCCCGTGGTTGGCAACTCCGTTTCCTTTTTGCCGATGGAAGAGCGCGGCTGCAGCGATGTTGCTGGGCAGATCGTTGGGAGTCAAAGTGACCGAGACCGTGGCAGGGAATTTTAGCAGCGAGTGTTTGGGACCGTGAAAAAAAGTCACCTGCCAGGGGAACAGCGAAAATCTGGTTTAATATTAAGCAACAGCATGGCAAGGTTCGTTGGCAAGATTCATTCTACTACTTACAGAGAGTTAGGGCAGACGGAGGGGGAAAAAAACCAATAACAAAATCCAGCCAATCAAAACAGAAATGAACTATCCATGTGTGTGTGTGTGTGTTTAGGTGCATATGGCAAAGGATAGAAAAGGAAAGGATAAAAAGGAATACACCCTAAAAGCTTAACAGTACTCAAACCAAACTGTACTTATACCTTAAAAATTTAACAAAGGAATAAAACTTAACATCATTTAACTTAACATATAACTTAAAATAAA